GGTGAAGCGCATCGTGAACATTGAAGTTTGAGTGCGTAAAAACGAACTCCCTTCGGCATCAGTCGCAAGTGACTTGACATGACCTAACTTAACCTGACTCCCGTGTGCGGACTCGTGAGGAAGTATTACGCGAGGACTGACTAAGAGCAACGGTTGTTGCACTATGAATATCAGGACCTATATGTAAGCAAGCATCTTCCGACTGGTTAATCTAACACCTACTCGATGCAGATGCTTGGACTAGATCGTTAGGGGCATATATATATATTTGTTTATATGCATCCCAATATTGTTGACACCAGCCCTACATAGATTTACTAAGAAAACCTCAGACTTGACTAAGACAACACTTTGGATTAGGCTACTAAAAGGCTGGACGAAGGTTTACCGGTATACGTCTGCTAACTTGACTTCTGTAAAGCCTTTGATTCTGTCAGCAGGCTTCTGGGCGATTAGGTACAGGATATAGGAATACGGGGTGGAGGAAGACATGGGGTCGAATAGTTTGTCAGCCATCGATTATTCTGTGTCAAGGTTAGTGACTTTCTGAATGTAGCTGTAGAGGGAACCAGAAAGTGCCTAAATGTTTAATACCGGGACAAATTTTCTTTTTATTTATATGATCTACAAAATCCATGGTTAAAACAGTTTAGGTCACTTCTGTTCTCAGAGGACAATTTGTGGCACTTGCCAATCGAGAGTCCAGGTTTGTGTGTTGCTGGCGAGTTTCTTTGGCTTCCAACACTTCTTTGTGTAATTTTTTCTGAAAGAGCAAATATTGTGGTGCAGTGTTACATAATTTTTGGGTTAAGTTATGCAGCCTCAGTTTCGGTTATATATAGTAACTAAACGCTTACCTCGGGGAAAACCCCAGTCCAACACTCGTCTAGTGTTTTTAAAAAAGGGGTTTACAGTATTGCAGCTTACTACTGTCTGCGGTAATTGGTTTCACAACGGACTCATCCTGTTAGTCTATATGAATTCTCTGTTATTCCCTTGAATTCGCTCGCAGCTTTCCAGTCTTTATTCCGCTCTTTTATCCACATGGGTAGCCAAAAGGCTGCAATCAAAACCGGCGCAGGAAAATGCATGGTTAATGATTGTAGAAACTGAAACTGAAACTGTTAATGAAAGAGTTTGTCTTTAGTTTCAGTCTATGGTGGTTTCTTTTCGGTCATTGATTGTGTCCCCTCGTGCATCTACACGAAACTAAAAAGACTAAGTTGTCAAACCCTAGGCCTGATTTATCCTTGACAATCTTAAACGACCTTATCAGGTCTCCTTGATGTTGGTTTAAACAGTGAAAACGTTTCCAATCACGTAAAAAACAATGAGTTGGAACGTATCTGATGGCATGCTTGCCAACTAGCATTACCCAGCCCATTCGTCGTCGATAGACCGGGGGACTGCCGTAAAGAAATACCATTGTAGTATCCATGATCAGTTTGTTGCATATTGGCAAGGTGCATACTGAAGTCAAGGTGATTTTTACAATCCGTAAAATAACAACCCGAAGACGGAGTTAAGATTATGAATTATAACAACCAAAAAGACATTACAACATAAAATATTGAAAGGGGGTAGCGATCAATCACCAAGACAGAACTAATATGAAAAAGCAATTAACGTTTAGACGGTGAACGTTTGGATTAGCCCATTCGGGTTTTCACAAGCACCAGGCACTTTGTTGATGATTATGGATGTGGATTTCACTCCTTGAGAGCTCGCTAATTTCCCAACAATTAAATGCATCTAAATGTAACGGAATTATTTGTGCTGACCGACTAAGAGCACTGAACAGCTGTTTCGTCCTGTTTCGGAGTCGTCAGCAGTGCGTCCTTTTGTGTGTGTCCCAGTCAGGACTTGAACCGCAAACAGTCGAACTTCAAACCCTTACCCCCAAGCTGCACGATCGACAGTCATCAACTTGTTCAAGTTAGACGGCGAATATTTGGATTAGCCTATAAGGTTTTTCACAGGCACCAGACACTAGTGATAGAAACACAAATAGTACACACTGCTGACGAGTTCCAAACAGAGAGCAACGGCTGTTCAGTGCTTTTTGTCGGTCATCACAAACACTTCCATCGCTTTAACAAAACATTCACTTTGTTTGCACAGATTGAGTTTCTGATTATAAACGTCCAGAACCTCGAGAAATCACAGTAGCTTTGAGATGTTTTGTGCCGTAAAGGAACTGGAATACTTGGGCTGGAGTGACATAATGTTTCTTTTCAGATAGGTTTTGCTCAATTGAAGATGAGTCTTTTTCGCTCTGTCGATGAAGCAACCGTCTCAAAGTTGTCGTTTATTGTTTCAGTTGGTTAATTTAATGACTATAAAAATTACCTCGATGGCATCGATCACTTATACCGATATAGTGAAATAATCATGGATACATTTTGCAAATTTATGTTTTCAGCTTCACTATATGCTTGTTCAATTGCCACTTTTGAAGAATGTTACTCCTTTAATGTTAAGCAGAAATTCGCCAAACTCAGTTCAGCGTGGCAGACGCAATTGTGCATGTATTTAGTCTAGAAATTAGAAATCTATATTGTATAGGAGTTAAGTGATATTTTTCAATAGAACGTGAAAATTTCCCCACAGTTTCGTCTTTTTACCTACCCATTCCGAGCTACCTAGCTACAAGATTGGCTCAAACATTCGGTCGTGCTA